AAAGGGGCGGCCCTTCGACTTTTCATGGCCCACTGATGCGGCCCTCGCTTTGAAAAGTTTGCCCACCCCTGGTATAGACGATTTGTTATACAGTAAGTACAGTTGTATGCAGTAAAATCCTAGAGGCTACTGTCCCTTTAACTCAGTCATTATATGGACCTGCCCCTCATTACACGATGCAGAGCAAAGAAGTCAAGTTATAGTTAGTATAGAAGAAATGGAGTATGAATACCATAACAGGCATAACTAAAATCAAACAGAATCCTTACTACAAGTATTCCTAAACCCAACACTTAATTTATAACTCGTCCTAACACTAACACCGTCCCTAATCCCTCACTGAAACCCTAACCCAAGCCATAATTTCTAACCCTAGAGTTCTATTTCCTGTAAGTGCTGTTATGGAATTTACACTATGCATGCCTACTACACTAGAAATATAACAAGATTGGGCCAGTGAATGCATGGAACTCCATAACACAGACATAAACACAGGCTGGCTCTTATCTACTTTGGGGCCACAGGCACTGATCATTTCAATTATTATGATTATTATAAATAAACACAAATTGTATTTACTACCAGTCTGTGTTTGTGTGTCCATGTTCTCTATTATCCTACCAATTCCATGGAAATGACGCTCAAATGCTTCTCCGCAACACACAACCCCGCTGCATGCAGGCCACTGTGCACACACTCAATAGAAAACTCGCTTCTCCCTACGTGGCGAGAAGGTAACAAGCGAATGTAGTGACCAAACCTTGTAGCTAACAATTAAAGCGATGTAACAAAACGTACTAATACCCCAGTTTTGATGGCTCTCACTGTGGCCCAAGGATATATAAGAGCTGTCCCCATTTGCACATTTGCACATGTCGCACATTGCGAAAATGAATTGGGGACGGCTATTATATCCTTGAACCCTCACCGCTTCTTTGTACTTCCACGCCGTTATTTACCATAGACACGCTAATTAATACCAAGTATGTATTTACGTGATAGCGAGCATTTTTAAGCATTGATAAGAGAGAAATTCAAAAAAGGCGGCTGCACTCTTGCCAGTCTTGTATTGCCACTATTGGTTAATTCTTGCACATGCACACTAATGCAAATATGGAACGTAGCGAGAAGACATGCGTCTAAACAGAGGAATTGTTCCGACCTGTGTTCTTTTTTATTTTGGCATTTAGCCTATGAGCGATACCGCGTGTACATATTTGCTAATTAATTAAGCTAATCGCGCTTCAATAAACTCAAGACTCACAGGGATCATAGCTAAGACTAGATACAATAATGTAACCCAAACACAGGATAGGGTTACAACGCGAGTCTATCCGTTTGTGTGGAGGAACCCCTGAGTGAATCACTCAGGGCGGTTTGCTGGTGCGTTTTCAGAGATTAGAACTTCCAAACTGGGTTTATTCTCAACACGAACCTTTCTCCGCTATCCCGGAACTTACTATGTATCACAATACTCTGTATTAAACTAATATAACCTGTTGCAAAAATTCGAAGTGATGAATTCAAAGTTTAAAATCAATTCACAGAATAACAAATCAATTTATTAACTTGCAAATTAATTCAGAAACTTTCCAAAATAATNTTACTTTATTTTATTTTATTGAGAACGTTCAATGCGGCCGTGTGCCGACGAACGCTTTTCGCGCCAACCAGCCATGAACTATGTGACCACACGTGACCTGGCACGTGACGTCAACGCTGATAACGCTGCCGTTGGGCAAAACACTGTCAGCTACACTGTAGCAAGGAGCATATAAATCAACTGATTTATCAGCGACGATATGAATCAGTTGATTGTATATTGCTCTGCACTGTAGTGTGACAGCCCTGTAAACAAATCACATCTTTCCTGCAGCGGTGGTAAAAATCGGGATCCTCCAATACTATAGCGTTATCCATGCGCAGCTGAAAGCATCCGGGCACTTTAGAATTTGAATTTGATTTGAAGTTTGGTTTGTAGTTGGATTGGTTTCAGGAGTAACATAATAGGGAGGCAGTGCCTGACAGACAATAACGCAAGCGGAAAATTTCGACACTTTAGCTAGCCTATAATACCTACGATTTTACTACGGCGCTAACGCAACCAACTGAGCTAAATTCGTACACAGTACATCCTCTTTCCAATCGTGTGTAAATCGTTGTCCTAGTATACACCCTCAATCCGGAGATACAGACATAAAACAGTACGCACAGATTTCGAGTTCTGTTGCAGCCAAAATCCATGTGGCGAATAAGCTATTTGAAACAAAAGGCAGACCTACTGTTAACCACACTGTCCGAGGGCTTTCGCTCACGGCGAGGCGCTGTGGCTGACGCAGGGAGAGTTGCCACGGATGAGCCAGGGTCTAAACAACCAAGGGATTACTGTTTATTTTTGATTAGTACTCATGATGTGCTTATTGGGTTTGCGGTAGGTTATACACGCTGCCGCTGACGCTGCCCAGAGCTGCTGCCCTGATTGCGCGTGGGGGGGTGCTCATACCAGCTGTTAAATAGAGTCCAAAGCAATAGCGTTATCTCGCCGAGTGTTGCGTTGATGGCCTAATCACCCTTGGGCAGCGCACAGCGGGCTCGCGGTGAGCACAAGCCGGCTGCGGACAGTGTCGTTAGTAGCTGCCTTTTGTTTCAAATAGGCTTAATTCCGCCACATGGATTTGCTGTTGCAAACAGCAACTGAAAATCGCGTGTGCGTACGTTTTAGTCTGTATCGTCCGGGCGATTGCAGGGTGTAGTACTAGGAAAACCGATTTCACACGTCATGGGAGGAGGATGTTAACTGTGTACGCATTTGAGCTCAAAGTTGGTTGCGTTCACGCGTATGTAATATCGTAGGGCTATTATAAGGCTACGGTAAATGACGAACCTTTCTTGTTTAGTTGTTGCTCATCACTCCTCCCCTATTATGACTCCTGATGCGTTTGTGGAAAGTGTAGTGAAAGATTGGCCAAGTCCTATGAATTGATTCGAAGTTTCCTGAATAGTTTGCACACGGACCCTGGGAAACAGACCATAGTGCGCGGCCAAATTGTACGTTAGTAAAGTGATTTTTCGAGAGGTCTTGAATAGATTGAAGTTGCCATAAACTTCGTCTGTTAAAAGGGAGCTCATTTTGATTGTAAACATTTATATAGTGTTTGAAGCTGGTACGATTGAATTTTGTAATTTTAAACTATAACATTTGTCGGTTTGCTACCTAACTCAATCTACTGAAGGCAAACAGCTTTAGATTCGCATTTCTGATATGATTAGTTGTTAAAAGTCGAATAAATTAATTTTCAGAACTTAGTGGAACTGATTCGTTATTCTTGTAAAAATTTAAAATTGTATAATTTCGAATTGTGTAGGGTGATGAAGCAATGATTTAAACATTTTGCTGAGTTTATGTAATCATGTTCTCAGATTAATCGCAAGTTTAGTAATTGCGCTTGTTGTGTTTGAAAATAAAATTGTGACGTTTTAGGAAAATGAATTTTTAACCAATTGATGTGAAGGAATTTGTATATCAGGCAATTATTTTTGGTGAAAGTTGTGAATTAATAATTTGCAAGTTAATGAATTGCAATTGATTTGTTATTTTGTGAATTGATTTTAAATTTTGAATTTAAATTTCTCGAACAATATAAAGTTATTTGTATTTTTATTAATTAATTTGAAATGTTTTAAATTGATTTAAAATTGTGTATTTGAAATGTTTGAAAATGATTTTTGAAGGGGATGGCTTTTCATAATTATGTAAGGTATTTATACCCGTTTTACGCTTTTTTTATACCTGAAACGCAGCACTTTATGCTACTGCCCTGTGTTGGACAGAGCCGACTAACCGCCGTCCCACTACAACTGTTTTTCTCCTTACATGTACCACCCCGTGCGTCGCAGTCTTCCTCTTGATATACTAGAACAAATTTCGGGTCGCGGTTAAAATATTGTCTGCTAAACAGTTGTCGAGTTGCATCCGTGCCCACACACGCACACGAACTCGTACGTTGACACGTTACTGCGATTTAGAAATTTTTCAACGAGATTTCACTAGACTATACGCGGAACTACTCTGAACGACAGAAAACCATTAATAAAATGTCATTTATCGTTATGATGTGGTGACTTCTTCCTATTCTTCTATGTGTGACAAAAAAACGGTGTGTCTAACCGCCGTGTAAAAAATTGCCTGCAGGTGAAAAATACAAAAACCACTGATCCTATATAGGATAGCACCTCGGCGACCTTCGTCGTACTTGGCTCTACCGGTGTAGCCCCTTCGCTCCCGCTGCAGGATCACACGCGCTGGCACGCGCACCCGCACGAACACGCACGCACGCATGCATGTACGCGCGCAAGCACACTCACACGCACACGCACGTACCCACATACTCGCACACACACACGCGCGCACACACACGCGCACACACACAGACTGTAAGCTCAATGCGCTCTCGTACCTCCGTGACAGCACAAGATATCGCTCCCCTGGGTCGGGCACTGGCTCGGTACGGGCGTGCTCTGACACCAGCTACTTTTCGTGCAATAGCCACCTAGCCGCTTACACGGGTCCTCGTTGTAGGCTGCAGATTCATGGAGGCAATATTCAAATCACAATGTATTCGATGATTAAAGTTGAGTCTAAATACATTAGAGCTAGAAATCATAATACTAGGGCTGGATTACTACTAGATACAATAATGTAACCCAATCCCAAGAGGATAGGGGAACCCTTATCCTCTTGGGTTTGGGTTACGTTATTGTATCTAGATTACTACCAGCATGTCATCGCAGACGTAAATGCTTACAAAATAAATCGGGCACGTACGCACGCACGCACACGCACGCGCGCCTACACACCCACGCACACACCCGCACGCACGCACTTTAACGCGAACAGACGAACGTATGAACGAACAAACAAACAAATGCGCGCTCTTGCACAAGTACGCAAGCACGCCCAAGCACACACGCACGCACGCACGCACGCACACACGCGTCCAACGTCAGATAACGAGTCGAAACAAATATACGTACACAATGGTGCTCGCGTAAAAAGATCACTTATCTCTAAAACTTTCCTTAAAAACACGTATCTCTAAACTCTCCTTAAAAATACGTATCTCTAAAACTCCTTAAAAACACGTCTCTAAAACTCTCCTTAAAACACGTATCTCTAAAACTCTCCTTAAAAACACGTATATCTAAAACTCTTCTTAAAAACACGTATCTCTAAAACTCTCATTAAAAACACGTATCTCTAAAACTTTCTTTAAAAACACGTATTTCTAAAACTCTCCTTAAAAACACGTATCTCTAAGACTCTCCTTAAAAACATGTATCTCTAAAACTCCCCTTAAAACACGTATCTCTAAAACCCTCCTTAAAAACGCCTATCACTAAAACCGCCTAAATACGTATATAAAACATCTGCATGCGTGTGCGAATGCTTACCCTGACATATGCCAGCGAGGCATAGGCCAATAACGCTGATCAGTAGCAGTGCAGCGCTCATAGTTCCGTGTGATGTGGTGAGGTATCGCATGGAAATTAGTCCTCGACACAGGTGCGGCAAGTTATATATATATAGAGTATTATGTATATATATATATATATATATATACAGTGTACTGTGATTTCCTGGAGGCTATGCCATGAACTTATTGTTGGACAGCATCGCAGATAGCTGTTTACCTTGAGCTGTATCCGGGTAGGCTTACGTGTCTACACGCCCGTGCAGACGCCGGGAAATTTGCATCCGGCTAATTTTCCAGGCACGTTCCCGGAATTCGCAGTGTAGTATGTGATATTTGTTTGAGAAACCGAACTCTGTTAGATAATTCTTTTGTATGTATTGTATCATGTATTGTATGTATTATTTATATTAGTATTTTATATAGTATGATTATTTATGCATGTCGTACGTCTCTCCGTTAACTCGATCTCTCGTCAAGAATGAGTTCGGAATGTATATAATTATGCATCGTGTAAAAGAGAGAAAGGAAACGCAATCTGAAGCAGGCTCGTACCTGTTAACCTGTGTTTTTTGTTTCTGGTGAACGGACCCCCGTAGCTGTTTCCCTAGCGGTCAGTTCACCAATGCCACATTGAGCAATAGCTCAACGATTTCACGTGAAGTTTGTCTGAAGGATTATACTACCGTAAAGAGCCAGTCTGGATAATCGCTATAAGGCTCCAGTCGATACCATTAACGACACGACGTGACATCTTCTAGCTGCTATCTGGAAACGACATCATTCGTCTGTTAAATACAGCGAACTTGTCGAGATGCACGGATTCACCCGACACCATTTTGCATACAACCGCCTCTTCTGGGTCTATATAGAGTATATAATGTACACACCCACACACACACACATACACACACACACACACACACACACACACACACACACACACACACACACACACACACACACAACAACCACACACACACAC